GTGCAAAATATGCGAGCGCGGAGTGAGAGGGGACGCAATGTTAAGGGATATCCCCTCTCCACCTCTCTCGCTAGCTCTCTCACCTGCTGCTAGCGGCATATGGAAGGGGCCGCCGTCGAATCTGCCGTATACGAGAAAGTAACTACTTCGCCACAGAATGGCAAAGACTTTCTCGTACTACTTAGTTTTCTCATTTCTTTGGTCTGGCCTAGCTTTTGTCTTGTTACATACTTTTGCCAGCTGCCATCTATCACCGCCAAAGTACATTTTTTTGATATTTCTCAATTTGTTGATTTACTACTAGTGGAACCGAAAGAATACCTTAAGAATATTAAAGAAGAGTAAAATCTCGTCGTAAATGCAATTTTCATCGAAAAATTCGGAGCCGTTTGTAAGAAAATGGATTTTAAGCGAAACTGTAAATGCGAAATTTAAAGCTCTTTTTCACAGAAAATATTTGAGTTTTCGAAAAACTTAATTGGAAGTCATTTGAAGTACACTCACAAAAACAACACTTTTTCGGTATCAGAGGACCCCAAATCGTGTATTTCTGTTAAAATCCGAAATCGACCATCCGTAGCATTACATAACTCTTCATATACTACGTATTACCCTGTATATACGTATGTATACGAAAAATTCCCTTCAAGTGCCTCCCCCAACATTAGGACTTTTAGTATGTTATGCACCAACAGTCATGCCAAGTTTCAAAACTGCTGCATATTTTGCACTCGATTTGACAAATTAAACTGGGCCACTTATCAACCCGAGGCAACGGTGCTGCCCTCAGAAGCTCGAAAATCCACACGTTTTGGACATCTATATTTCATTTGCAAAAAGAGCATGGCGTAAATTGCATACTTGAATATGAAACAAATGCCGTTCACAAATCGAAAATCTGACTATGTTTCTGAAATGTTATTAGTAATGGAATTTTTGCTTATTTTGAATCTGTGACGTGAGGGCGACAAATTGAACTATTAAGTCACGGGGTGGGAAGTTCAAATGACCCTACATTTGGAGAACCAAACTAGATTTAGATTTATTCAGTCAAAAAACAGTAAAATCTGCATGTGACGTAGGGGAGGGGGGGGAGATTATCTGCGCACGTTTTCTTTTAGTTCCAGAATGCCGTTCCGTCATTTTAACAATGGTTTTATGGCTTACTTTAGTGAAAAACTACACACTACATATTTTCCTACGAAAAGGAAAATTTACTTATATTGAGTTAATATGCGAACAATTTGCAAAGGCAAATCAGAGATTGGTGTCCATCTTTGATGTAACAGTTCTAATAACAGATTAAAGCACTATTAGAAATGACTTTATTTGGAAACAATGTAATTTGTTATATCTATATAGTTGTAGACAATGATACAGATCAAAACCTAAGTAACTATGACATTTATGAAGTAGATGAAATATCCATACATGAGCTACATAATGCATATAAAAAATTAAAAAACATAAAAGCCGCAGGACCTGATAATATAAGTACAGAGCTTCTCAAACATGGAGAAAGTTACCTCATGGAAAGAATGCTTATATTTGACCTAGCTGTATGCAGATGACCAGATAATTCTACAAGAGACAGGAGATAATTTGCAAAAATCAGTACATTCCCTCCAAAGAATCAGATATGAATATATCATGAAAATATCCGTTCCAAAAAACTAAAACTATGGCTTTCCATGGGAAATATCCCATCAGAACTAAGTTCGTTGTGGATGGACACATTCTGGAACAAGTAAAAACACTTAATATTTAGGTTTAATGTTAGGTTGTAATATTTCTTGTGACTGGGATGAAGATACAGAAAATAAATTACATAAATTTCACAGAACTTGTGGATGAATTAAAAAACACCTCAAAAATAAAACAAGAAAAGAAACAAATAAAATTCTCCAAAATAATGGCAGTACTTGCATTTCTCTATGGCTCAGAATTATAGGCAGCTGAGGGGACCTTCCTGAAATCTTGCACTAGAATCGATAGAATAAGAAGAAAATAAAACGAAATGGAAAGAACACCTAGAAAGAACGACCAATGGAAGATTTCCAAGAGAAACAATGAAATATAGACCCCGAGGAAGAAAAAATACAGGTCGCCCAAGAAGAAGATGGACTGAGAGGCCAGGCATCGCCCTAATCCTTAAAAGAAGAAGAATATATAGTTAATCATAATTATTTATTTTAAAAAGCTTCTTTATCATATATATTGGGATCAATATCAGTGCTTTGTGGTAGTGAGCAGATATATTGAACCATATCAGTCATGAGATGATAAAATGATTGCATAATATTTGGTTGTGCAAATGTATTTTTTTGTCTTTGTTCCGCAAAACTTCATTACTCGGGTGTAAATTATCAATTTTCTCCAGGGGGACGTTAAAGTTCAAGGGAGAGGTGAATCAAGGAGTGGAAACAAAGACCGTTGCTTACTCAGCCCAGTATGAATAAATACTACTACTAAATAAATAATTCTTTGGGCAGTTTTCTCCTCCAATTTCCTCAATGAGAACATTTTAGTGTGGAAATCATTAATGAGAAACCTAGATTAATTACTACTTTTGTAGTAGGAGAGATCAAACACTCTAGGCAAGGGGGTAGCAAAGAGATTCCCTCGGGATTGATCTACACCCAAGAGTAAATTACACCAGAAATATATTTGAACTACAGGAATGTGAAATTGGATTGAATTCAATAATTTCAAAAAACAAATTTATTTACAATTCATTGGCGATATAATAATACTCTACAATGCAAATGAAATTATTTTGGAACAAAAGTTCCATCCATATAATAAATGTAGCTCTTAAAGAAATATAGAATAAATGAATTCAGATAACATCATAATATAATTTCAATGACATTCAATTATTACGATTATATAACAATTGCACTTCTAGTAAGCAGACTAGTCAGCTTTTTAGAATAGTAATAGCAGTTAATTTCCTTTGGCAGTGGCAGTTTGGTCATGATTTAACACAACAATTACAATAAATATTATTAACTTACGCAGACAATCTGTGATGAATATTATCAATATATTTCAATACATCATAACAGTTAATGAAGTCTGGGGACAAGCAAACCACCAATGAAGGAAGATTACAAATTAATTTTGCCTTAAAACAAGTTGAGTATTTTGAGATGTGAGCAAGTAATTTCTACTTCCAGATTACAAGTTTACATTCATTGAAGCAACTTCCAGCATGAAATAACAGACAAAACATTGGTGTGTCTGTTCCATACTTCAAGACATCAAAAAGATCACATTGTTATTAAGTTCCTTTTTTCCAAGTGACAGTATATTTTTCCTTTCCCACTAATAGCAAAACCAAATTAAAAGAAAAATTCAGGGTGGCCCACAAGTTTGGACTGTAATCAATCAAAGTTTTTCACCTCTTTATTCACCAATAAAATCACCTTCCCTTTACAGCACTTTTATTAATTGCACAGATCAGTCCAAAGAGATGCATATCTTGTAATTTATACAATTTTGATGCTATTAAAACATGCATTCTTTGTTCAGCCGAGTAAGAATAGCTCAGACCAGGAGAACAATACAGCCCAAAAGTATTGTCTATCGAGAAATTATAACATTAAAACAAACATTCTGTGACAAATCTAAATTCCTTACTGTGGGCCACCATGAAACCTTCTTTTTTTCACTTTTCCTTGGACTGGTGATTTTTGTCAGTTTCTAATACCTTAAGGATTTATTTGAGCTGGTTTGTTTTACATCCATACAATGATAAACATAAATTAAAATATTCTTATATAACTCCACTAAAGTGTACAACATACACACATATCAAATATTTCTGCTAGTTTCACAAGGAATTAATTCACTGTATGTATAAGTTATCATACATAGGCAGTATACACATGAACTGCCTATGTTATGTCCTGGACAAAAAACAATTTGCGCAAGTATCTTAAATTTGTTGGTACAATTTACTCTAATCTGTCTGAGCCACTACTCTGTTAAATTTCTCATAAATTGGTTCCAACAGAGACTTGAGCTCTCCAGTAAATAATTATACAATAAAATATAGTAAGTACAATCAATTTCTTTTTTTGTGAATCACTTTGAAGCATTCAATATTGTAGGTTTAAAAGTTTCCACAACATTAAGCATTCATAATACAAAAGCCAACTACTTCACACACAGTACTTCTGTAAGTACTGTACATGGTGCAATATAAATGTTTACTAAACTATGACAAGTTATGAACATCAAGGTGACCTTTGAAAAAGATGGGATGGATTAGGCTGTCAAATTAAGAGAGCATAGAACTGAATATGTTTTGCTTCGTAATTTGAAATACATCGTGAATAGTGTTCTTATTCTGAATATACAGACAACCTGGGGTACAAGGACAAAGGACAATCATGTACATTTATTTTTCTTATTAATAAACCACACAAAAATCGGCAAATTACGTGAGCCATAAAAAATTATAATTATCATATTGTCATTATGTGTCAAGTGGTCTAAGGCTCCCCACACAACCTTGGATTTTGATGATATTTTGTTTGTCAAGTCCCAAATGTTCCAAAGGGGCTTTTATGAAATAGCAGCTTCATAACTTTCCTAGTGTTTGAGATACAGCAGTTTTTTTGACACTGTGCAGTGCCGTAGACTACTGTATGACTATTAGATTTTTGCAATTTTGGACACTATTTCCTTCTCCATTATTGCAAAACAAATGAAACTAAACTTTTTCTGTTCTATTCAATGAAACTAACATAACTTTTATCTTAACATATATTGTAGCAGTCACCAAAAAATAAATAAACCACAATATAAGTTTAAAATCAACGATGTTTGCAAAAAACACACACACACACTAGAATGTTCCCCAATGCCCCCATCACATCACAAGAGAGATTTTATTTTTGCCAGCATCTAAATAAGTTGGCCTTCTTGATATAAGAATTTTCTGCAATGAGTGGAGGAGGTGGCGGTAGGTCTTGCGTTTTTATAGAATGCCCAATAAGTAATAATAATAATTAATAATAATAATACACAAACTTTGAAACATATTTAATAGATTGAAATAATTTTTCCCCATCCTTTCCCACCCAAACTTTGAATGCAAGTTACAAACATGTAAGCCAATGTTGACAAATAAATACTATACTAAGAGCTTCAAAATCTGATCTTTGTAATGAGATATGTTTTAAATCATTTCTCTTTTCTGTAAACATGAGTTGATAATACACTTTTTTGAGGCTTTCTGCAAAAATCATCAATTTTACACTTAATGTTTAGTCATGTTAGGAGCTGGGAGGTTAAAATTTGGTATAAAAACCAATGTTACATTAAGATTAGGTTTTAATCTTATTAAACCTGCTTGAATATTGAGGAAACTATACAACAATTAAAAAATCTGGATCTTTTATTGAACACTAACACTTTCAAATGAAGTAGGTTTGAAAGAATTTCTAGAATGCACTTTTCTGTAAAAGAAGGCTGGAAACACCCTATGTTGGGACTTTTTAACAAAATCATCAATATTAAATTTAATTTACGTTTTTTTTTAAGTTATAGTATTTTTTTTTAAGTTATAGTAGGAGCTGGAAGTTGAAATAATGCAGTACCAAAAAATGTAATATTGACATGTTATGAGCTAAGTACGTTTCTTACTCAAATATTAACGAAGTTATTCAACGTTAAAATCTGACGTTTTTTAAAACTAATTTTTTTCAGTGACTTTGTTACATTGCTCCCACGGTGTTAAAAAGTCAAAACTGATATTAGATTCATAGAACAGAATGGAATAAGTTGGAGAAGTAAGATTTGTTTAATCTGTTTAGTGATAATGGAGAAGGAAATATTGTACCCCAGTAGTGAAAATCTTATAGTTATACTGTACAAAGAGGGTCAAACAATCTGTTTTATCTCAAAAACTGGTTCACCTGTGAACATACAACATCATAAAATTTCCTTTCAGATATGTGAGACTCGGGAACAAAATTTCTCTGCAAATCTCAGATGGTCACATGGAGCATTTCTCCAAAATTAGACCACTTGACATGAAATGACCCCATTACTGAAATTTGTTTTCAGGGAAAGAAAACATTTCAATTTACAAATAATTTATTACATAATATGTTCCTTAATGATTAAAGAAAAAAAGAGAACCGTTGTCATGTACTAAGTAGTATAGATGAGAGAATTACCTTAGCACTAACATGTATATAGTATAAATTATCCCAAAACATTACCATCACAAAACTTCAAGGTTACTGGCACTTCAACAAGAATATAACACTATTGCTAAATTTAATATGGTAGAATGTTTTTCTTTCTTTGAATTGCTCGATAAAATATAATACACAGGGTTAAAGATTACTTTCACAGCAAAAATTGTCAATAACTTTATACATTTCTTACCACCTTAACCTTAAGATACAATTCATGCTGGTATATCTGTTTCCATATTTAAAAATTTGATTAAAAGTTCCATCAAGTGAAAAATATATTCATTAGCCCATCTAGTAAGCAGAGAAGCATGTAACTGTTAGCAACAATGTTAAACAAATAATGCTAATGTCAATTTTTTTCTTTTTTTTCGCATTGCTCAATACGTTGCATTCAGTGTTCAGTTCACTTTAAGTTTTGATGCCAAACAATTGCTTTCATCTACAAAGGGCAGTTGTGTCATTTGATTGATGTACATATTACTACTAAAAGTAATGGGTCAAAGAGGAATTATTTTGTGTTAAGAAAATATCATTCACCAAAAATTGTGCGTTTATGGTCTACATCCACAGTAGAGGGGTTAACACATTGCACACATCTTCACTAAATGTATATTTATTTCATTTTCTTAGTATGATGAATATGCATTAAAATATCAGTGGATGCAAACTGTTATTAAAAACTTGCTCTGAAATAACTTCATGAAGAATGAATATAAAATGTAAAAGTACCAATGAACTTTATGTCAGATTATTCCAATAGAATTATTCTTAAAGTATGATCCGTAAAACTGCTACATTGCACTTACAAAATTGTGCAATTTATAAATGACAAAGATAAAATGAAAATAGAGTTAAAATAGTGTATCAAATGTTTACCATAAGACAGAATAAAAGTTGTGAAAATTAAAGAATATTACCAGAACCATGTCATATGGAAATAGAAAAACCTAACATAAGGCAGCCATAGGAGGAGGAACAGAAAGACTGAAGTAAGGTTTATTTTCTTCCTCAAATTGAAAAAGATTGTGACTGATGAATCCAGCATAAATAACTAATGAACAAATATATAACTTGTTATACATTTGAAATCAAAACCACTTATTCTCCATTTTTCCCTCAATGAACATCAGTATTGCCTGAACGCACGCCAAAACCTACAAAAAACATTGAAATTTCCTATTTTATTAGCAAATGAATTCAATGATAAATTAAAATATTTACAAAGCTATTATGTTAAAAAAATGTTGTGGGCAAAAGTGAAATTAGACTGTTGGAGTCAGTACCTCACATATTCATTTTCATGTAAAAATTATACATCAAATTACAACACACTGTGCTCTAAATAACCAATATATACAAAATTCATATTCAATTTGTATTAGATTTTCAGGCTTTGACCACCATTAAGAAATAAATTGGATCAATTGTTTTAAGGAGTTTTGATATTTCTCATTTTAAATTATTCAATACATTGTACCATTAAATCACTTTTTCTCACGAATTGCTAATTTAATTTTCCCATAAATTATATTTATATATTATATATACATTTTATATATAAAATTCTTGGATTATGTGCTGTCTTTTTTCTGATACAACAACAAGAAGATGCTTCACACGACTTTGAGAAAAAAATGCAAATTTTCCTCAAGCATTACATTCAAAGATTTAATAAATCAATAGATAATGATTTAGCACTTAATTAACAACATAAATTATAAACCATAATTTCATTGTGTTCTCTTTTACAATGATAATTTTCAATTTAGAATTTATTTGTAATACACACAAGACAGCAAATAAATGCAGAATTTTTTTCACCAATTAGAATCCAGACAAACAATTTCAATCTTTGCTTTCACAAATCATGTGAAAGAGATCTGTTCTTACGTTCAGCGAGAAACTGCACTAGGAGCATTGACGGTTGATGAAACTTGTCTTTAAGTGGGTTGGAAACTCTCACTAACCGTACATTGTCATGATCTGAATTAAAACCTAGAACAAATAAGTGGAAGTTAAAGCTTATTATACATTTTTAATCAACAAATGCAGTTAAAATTAATGTTACTGTATGGATTCTGTTTGCAATGAAAATGTTAATGAGAAACATATCTCACAATCAAGATAACAAAAATGTTGCTTCCTTAAATATTTATGCAAGACATGCAGTTCCCCAGAGATAAAATAGGATTTATGCAATATTAAGAAAGTAGTATAAGCACATACAATAGGCCACCAAATATCTTGTATTTATTGGCACTTCACTCAATTTGCATTAATATGAGATTTACTTAATGACACAAAAGGAGAGCATAGGTGCCAACTTTACAGGGCCTAGGCCCCTTCAGCAACTCCCAATAAAATTTAGGAGGGGTTCAGTCCCCCCAAATTGGACAATAATATTAAATAAAACATGAAACAAATCTAAATGGACACGGGGAAACAATCCAAGTTTTGATAGTTAATCAGATACATTAGAATGTTATACAGGATATCAGGATGTTGGAAGCAAAACGATTGTCAAGACTCTGAAAGGATCCTGCTTTTCAAACATAAGAAATCCTAAGAAATAAGAACATACACACATCACTAATTTTTTTTCATGTTGGCATCTTAAATAGAGTGAGAAAACAATATACATCACATTTATGTATTTATCACCCTTAGTTAAAACAAATATTTACTGAAATTATATTTTTTATACATGCAATTACCACAAAATACATTGAACTAGTTGAACAATAAAATGTTTTTAAAATATTGTTGTCACCTTAAAAGCACCGAAATGAACAACAAAAATATAATTCAAATAATTTCCCCTTGCTTCAGAATTCTAGTGAATTTCATTTGTCAATTGGAGCAGATAACCTACTAGAATCGAACATTGCTGGTAATACTAAAAAAATGCACAAAACATAATTGGCAGCAATCATGCAAACAATCATAACTTTCCTTTCATGGACATCTAGCACCATCCCCCACCAACGTTTATCAACATTATTACAGGCACCATGTGGACAAACTTTAGCTCATCAATTTACATAATTCAACACATATACACATTATACTGGGCCTATCTTCATTAGACTTCTTAAAAAGGTTAACACTTTTTTGTATATATTATTTATAGTTTTTTTGCCATAATTTTTCTATGAAAATAACATCAAATGGATTTGATAACAGCAAGTCACTTGGGTAGCCTCTTCAAGTTTTCAGTGAAAAAAATATCTTAAGCTCAAAATGCAGAACACAAGACAGCTAGAAGTGGTGAACCCTGAATGAAATAAAGTAAGCAAAAAAGCACATGCTTTTGTCAAACTGTGAAGTGTGTAGTCAAAGTGACACACATTTTGTAACAAATGATGCATGAAGCATCACATTATGTCGTTAACTGCTGTATCTGCACAACAGCCAAAATATCAATTAACAATGCAAACATTCTTGACACTCCATTTTCAGAATGCAACACAAACAATATTAATAATTTACTTACTTAGAGATCGCAAACAGTAATACTGAGCAACACCATGAAGCAGAAGCCGTTCAAAGCTCGAAAGGTGTTCAGATATAAAAATATCTGTAGGTGTATTAGTGAAAAATTCCACTAATTTATTTTCTAAATACTCTATCATTCCCTGAAACAAACATTCAGTTTTTAAGAAAATTCAAAATGAAATGCAATACTTTTAAAAAGGAATAAGCATAAAAATTGAAAATTCCATATTTTACAACATCTTAGTAAACAATAATAATAGTAATTTGTCCTTCCCAAAACCATCGTTACTCATAATTTTGTAGATATATTTTAAGAATCTATCTTGCTAACGCTCTAATTAGTTTATGTTGATGACACCCACAAGGAGCTTATTTTTATTCCTAGTAAATAGAAGGGATCAGCCCAACAGCAGTCTAACATACTAAAAATGAAATATGAGTTACCAACAACATTTGAATCGTTTATTTCAGAAACCCGTCAAACGCCAAAATCTAAAATATACATTAGTGACAGATTATTGTTGCAATAGGGTAGACACATCATTTAGTGCATATTGATATGAAAATTATTCATTTATCAACTGCTTTAATAAATAAAAGGAATTTGAAAACTGAAAAATTAGGATTTTTTTTTCCGTTTTCTCGAAATGAGAAATATGGCGTTTGACAGGTTTCTGAAATAAACGATTCATTTGTTGTCACCATCTTTAAACATTGTTGGGTAGAGTTTTCCTCTATGAAGTTAGGAATGAATTCATTATTTTTCCTTACACCTACGTAACCCCACGAAGATCCTTTAATGCCCTTTTCCTGTGTTTTTACAAAAAAGTGGCTTAAACCACTGTTGTGCTGACCCTTTCAATTAATTCCAGAACTGATACAATCTTTGAGAAATTTATAAACATTCCCTTCATATGTAATATTCAATACATAGAAGCGAGCATAGAGAGAAAGTAAATAAGCTTATACAGAGGAAGGAGAATTAATAAAATTTAAGATGCTGAAGATCCACTGAATTTTGTAAAATTTCCTCTCCAAAGCATTTATCAACATTTGTAGTATTGGGACATTGAAGTTAGCCTTCTCGAACAAAAGTCGTTGATTTATTAGTGTGAAAACTCCCCCCCCCCTCCAAGAGAAAAAGGGCTTGGGAAATCATCCATTGACCTGAAAGACAAGTTTTATATCTTAAAAAAAATTATAAATGACTCCTAATGGTTAAAATACTTTTTATAGCACAAGCAATTCTAGTGTACTTCCAGTATTATTCACTTCCCCCCCCTCCCCCAGCCAAATTTAAGTAAGAGGGAACAATGATTATGTGATGCTCAGTAAATACATTAGCAAGTGATGAAAGACAATTTCTCAAATATAAAAAAATGCACAGGATTGTCATCTATAAAACCTGGTGTACATGCTTCTTTTAGAGGAATTATTTCAAAATTTTAATGATCATATGCATGTGCAGAGCAAATCGACCCCCACAGAAATGCATGCACACTATAAAGCTCTGAAATTATTCATCAAAAGGAAGCAAATAAATCGGGACCACCTGCCTAAACATAATGAACAATAATAATGAACTTTGAACCAAAATGAATTGGTGAAATTCAAATTCACAGACAATTGACAGAGAAAAACATTTAATTTGTTGGTTAGTGTTCATAAAATCTGTTTGCAAACATATAACAATATCAAACACTTATCAGTTTGCACAGTTTCAATGGTTTTCTGTCCAGAGCATGGACATGGTCATCAGAATGTAATTACAAAAATAAAATAAAATAAAAAGCTGAAGTGGCCGTTGTCACTCTTGTCCAAATCATTTGAACGTAGTAAATTAAGTTACAGCCTACATTGTTGAGGCAATTTACCCCAAAACTGATATTCCTTAATCAATCTGAATGAACCTGATACTCTCGAGTTGGAGTTTAATAAAAATTGATGTCAGTGTCAAAGTCGACATCCTTCAAAAATTTGTTGTGTCTATGTTAACAATTTTGTAAAATACCAATAACAGACACAAAATTGTAATTCCCAGCATGAAGTTGCACTGCTATCTAGTTGTGCTACAATAGTGCATACTTCCTCACACTATTTCTAACCTTTGCAATTTTTGAAAATCCAGATAGTTCAACAAAAACAAAGCCTGCCCTTTTTTTTTTTTTTATTGCTTTCTTTGCTCAACATTTGAAAAAAAATTGGACCATTTTCGAGAATATATTATTTTAAAATTCTTTATATATCACACAAAATTACTTCAAAACAACTCATATTTTCAAAAAATTGTACAACCTTATTTCAAGAGGAAAAAATCTGTCATTTTAAAGTAGTAGGAAGATGCTGAACAAATTTTCAACTTTTGCAATTTTCAAAAAATTGGGGATATTAATGAAAAAGATTTTTTAATCATCTTTTACGCTATCGGGCAAAGTTTAATAAAAATATTTGAAGCCATATTTGAGAAAATGTTGAGGCTTCATGTTAAGTATACCCAAACATCAAAATACCCACTTAAAAATTGCAGGCAAATTACGCTCAAGTTCATTCAAATCGATCAAGGAACATCATATGAATGGTTTAGGAGGGTATTCACCACAGACAAATGGTTCGCCATCAATTAATTTTTCAACATAAAGCACCCACAAAACTTGGATACTGTCAACACATGATGGAGGAAATAATTTACTAGATAGGAACAAGATGAATCTAATTTTTCATTACCAGACCTTGGCATTAAGAGTTTTTCTATTGGAAAATGAATGATTTCTGGTGCATGGTTACATTATTCCTCTTATGAAGTGAGGCAAAAAGTAAAAAAATGAAGTGCTAGTTTGTGATATCAAAATATTTGTTTTTAAAAATGCTAATTTAAATTATATAAAAAACAATTCAATTGTGTTAATAATTTTTTGTTTGTCTGTCTGGGGTGTACTCTTTGGAATACCTAAATCAATTTTGATGCATTTTCCACTAAAAGGTAGAAAGTGTTATTGGTCATTTCCGAGACTACTTTTTCTTCACATTTTTTAATTTAAAACATAATGATTGTTACTTCATACAACTCTAGTTTTATTCTGATCTTAATAAAATGTTGAACATGTAACATTCAATACAAGAGTAAATGTCTGCATGATATTTTGTAAAAGTTATTCCTATTCCCTTCTTTTTATCCTCTAAAGCATTATGTAAGTGTACCCTCAGTTTTTCATAAATATCTCAAAACCTGTGAGAAAATTTACCAAAGCAAACTGGAACCTTTTAAAAGCCATAAAATTTCCCAAAAAATTCATTCAGATTCATTTCAATAGCACAATTATGTTTTGAGAAATTGATTGTGGTTAATAAATACAAATGATTGTGGTTAATAAATATGCAGGTAATGCAGGATAATATAATAATATATTTATTCAGCATTGTAGGCTTTCACGGCCAGAGTCAATATTCTTCATGTCTTCCGGGCTGTGGTCCAATTGGCTCTGAGATGCCAAACGTTTCGC